GGGGTAGGACGTCAGATATGACGCGAGCGCACCTAGCTTGTCCTCCTCCCCCTCCCTCTCCTCCTCCGCATCCTCCTCCTCCTCCTCCTCCTCCTCCTCCTCCTCAGCCTCCCCCTCCTCATCATCCTCCCTCTCTCCGTCCCTCCTTCCCCCCGTCCCTCCCTCCCTCCCACCCGCCCTCCCGACCTCCCTCCTTCTCTCTATACATCCCCCTCCTCCTCCTCCTCCTCCCTCCCGTCCTCCTCCCTTTCCCTCTCCCTCCTCCTCCTCCTCCCTCCTCCTCCTCCTCCTCCTCCTCCTCCTCCTCATCTCATCATCATCATCCGCATCCTCCTCCTCATCTCCTTCCTCCCCCTCCCTCCTCCCTCCCTCCCTCTCTTCCCCCCCCGCCCCCCCTCCCTCCCCCCCCCCTACCCCTCCCTCCCTCCCTCAGAAGGGACCTCTGTGGTCACTCACCTGGCGTGGAACGAGACAGGTGGTAAGGTGGTAACGTGGTACGGTGGTAAGGTGGTCAGGTGGTCAGGTGGTCAGGTGGTAAGGTGGTATCGTGGTACGGTGGTAAGGTGGTCAGGTGGTCAGGTGGTCAGTTGGTCTTGTGGTAAGGAGGTCAGGTGGTAAGGTGGTAAGGTTGTAAGGTGGTACGGTGGTAAAGTGGTACGGTGGTAAGGTGGTACGGATGCTGACAAACCGCCGTTACGCTGGACAGACTGATGGGCTAAGCTGGCCAACGCAGACTGCTTCTCTGGCTGCGGGGGCGCCCGCCAGCCGGGCGCGCGCTCCGAGCTGGCGGGCAACGAGCCGCCCCACGCGGGCGCTGGATCGTCGCGCGCCGGCGAAGCTTCTCCAGCACCGTGGGGCTGCGAGGCCAGCAGGCTAGCGAAGAGCTCGGCCTCAGCGATCTTGGCCTCTTTGAAACCGTCTGGGTACTCCATGGCGCCCCGCTTGAGAGCCCCGAAGGCGCTCATGTTCGCCCTCTTAAACCAGTTGTCGCCGACCTCGCCCTCCGCCACCACGGAGATGGAGGCCCCCTTTGAAGACGACGGCAAGCGCAGGTAGATGGCTCTGTATCCCGCGAAAATCACGACGCCCCGCTTGAGGATAGCAAGCAGGTCCTCCTCGGAGGCGCACGGGAAGGACGGCCGCAGCATAGGGATAAACTCATCCCACGTCAACACGTCGCCATGCTGCGGGTTCGGGGGCTCGGCATCCTTGTCCCTGGTGTTATCGCAGATCGCGCGGAAGCAGTTCTTCGCGAAGGAGACTGGCGAGCATCGGCAATCGACGCGCCCTTTAAACCCAGTGTCCAAGAACTGCTTCACATCGTCGTACCTGAACCTGGGGACGTTGCCGTCGTCGGCCACAACCCCATTATAGATCTTGCCTCTACGCCCCTCGTGTCGTCGAACTGTTTCGCGCGGTACCAACCAGGCTTCGCTCCCTCGATGCCCAACGCGCCAATCCAATGCTGGCCGATGCACGAGGCCACGAGGAACGCGAAGGGCGTCTCCCCAGCCCCCGGTCGGCCGGAGGGCAATCAAGCCGCGGCCTGGCAAGCACGGGGCCATCGGAGCGACCACGTCGCGGAGGATAGAGTCCTTCAGGTCGTGCAATGTCAGGGGGAAGTCTTGCTCCAACTCCGCCACCATCCTGCTCTTCGCCGTTACCTCGCAGATTTTGTTGACGTGCTGCGCGGGCCACCCGCGGACGGGGGGGCCCACCGCCTCGTCGTGGATCAGGAGTCCCATCGCCCCTGCCGGCGGAGCGTTGTCCTGAATGAACTCCATCCCCCGCGTGATCTCCTCCGTTGTCGGCGCCCACTCTCCACCTGAGCTGGCCCGCCTCCGCGCGCCCGGGCCCCCCGCCTCGGCCTCGCCCGCAGTCTTCGCGAACATCAGCTTCCACCCCTTCGCCCTCTGCAGGATCGTTTGGAACGCCTTGCGCGCGCCGTAGGAGTTGGCACGGCGAGGGGCGCGCAGCGCGTCCTGCTGGCGCAGGGCGCGCGCGGCCGTAGCGCCGATCGCCTCCTTCAGGTTGAAGATCTCCATCGCGGCGCATGCGCCGCCCTCATTCTTCTCCACCGCCACTTGCATGGAATCGCCCTGTGCAAGCTGCTCTTTACCTGGAAGCAGTCCCCCAGCCCTTCGCTCTCTCTCTTTCTCTCTCTCTCTCTCTCTCTCTCTCTCTCTCTCTCTCTCTCTCTCTGCCCGCTGCTCTTCGCTCTCTCCTGGCGCACCCTGCAGCCCGTCCTTCGCAGCGCCCCCGAACGCCTCCAACGAGAAGTCGTCTGGGGCCACCCACTCCGCCAAGTAGTCGACGACGACCCCCCAAAACTTCCGGCGCTTCTGTCTGCCCTCGCAAGGCAAGTTTTCGTGGAAGGCCCTGATGTCGGAGATGCCGATCCCGCGCTCAGACGCAGGCTCGACGGCGCCACGCTGGCGCGCCTCGTAAACAGACTTGGAGTTCGACGCGATCAGCTCGTCGAAGAGCGCCTCGACACGGACCGCCATCGCGCCTCGCGCAACGCCCGCTGCCCCGCGGGAGAATCAATATGCAACGCCGCAAGAGGACGCTTGAGCAGAGCGAGCTGCGGCGCACATTTGCGAGGCGGGGGGCGGACGGGGGCTCTAGGTAGCTCTTCTGGGCGCGGGGTTGAGGGCCGCGCGGGCCCAAGACATGCTTCTCGCCCCTCAAAGCCTGCTTCGCGCCCAAGCAAGCTCACTCTAGATCTCCGAGTGTCTCCAAAGCCTGGAATGCAATGGCGAATTCGCTCGGGCGCGCAGTCCTGCCTATCTGCGTTCCCCACGCAGCGCGAGGACTTGCGAACGCCTGTCAAAAATCTCAATCGAACAACGGCGACTTGGTCAGAACTCCACTACCTCGACGGGCTCGCCCGCCCGTGGAGAGCTCGCACGCGGCCCCCTAGCAGCGTGAATGCACTCAGTCCTGCGACGCGCGCCTGCCCGGTTTGTGGAACCTGGGCTTCTCCAGAATCAGCTTGCCGTGCTCTGGGTGATCGTTGAAGAAGAGGATGAACTCGGCCACCCAGAATTGGTGACTGGCTGACCGCATGGAGTTGGCAAAGAAGTTCACCACGCGGATCCCAGCGTTGAAGACCTCGGCCGCACTGGTTGGAACGCCCTTGCAGCGAATCGTCTACCTGTGCGTCCACGTGCACTTGCTGCAGGCGTGGTTCTTCCGATGGAATTCGTCGATGACCCAATATTTTACTGCGGCGAAAGCCTCGGGCGCGCGAATCAAAGCAGACCTCTCGAAGTGGCACATGTCGTCGTGGATCAGGAAGTCGGCGTTTACCTTTTCCATCCCCATCACCGCCGTGAGCAACGTGATCTTGTCCGTCGTGCACTCATTCTCCTTGTGTTCCATGGCTCCGAGGACTCGCACTGTAGCAGGGTCGAGGGCGAACTGCCACCCGCCCGTGCGGCCAGCCAACGTCCGCCTGATCTTGTCCTTGGCAGCGCACGAGGCCGTCCTCTCCTCGTCCTTGTAGTACAACTGTTTCTTCTTGGGCTTCGCCTTGACCACGCTCTTCGCGGCCTTCGAGCCCCACCTCTTGCCGCTCGGTTTCTTCGCGTTTTTTTTCTGATCTTCCCGAGGGTGCGGCGCGGGCCGTCGACGTCAGGGCCCACGGCACGGTTCAGCCCGAACAAACCGTCGAAGCAGATCGACTTGCACCTTGCGGGCGGAGGGAACCGCACCGGGCTCCTGTCCTTGGTGAGCGCGCCGGCCGGGAAGTTGACGTCGAACTGCACCACGTCATCGGGCGTGCGCTTCGCCAGGGCGAAGCCTTCAAGCGCATGGAGGAGGTTATCCCTCAGACTGTGTTTGCTCTTTGACACTAAGTCCTCCCCATGATACATCTGAAGGACGTCCGCCTCCTGCCCAGGCACCAAGCGGCCGCGCACCAGGCGCAGGTATTGGAGTTCCAGGTACGGCATCGTAAACCAGAGGAGGAGAAGGAAAAGCAGGAGGAGGAGGAAGAAGAGGAGGAGGAACAGGAGCAGGAGGAGGAGGGGGAGGAACAGGAGGGGGGGGAGCGGCAAGACGATGGGGGCCCGAAAATCCATGCCCAAGTAAGCTGTTCTACGATGTTCCTGTTTAGCGCGCCTGCGGGGGGGGGTCTGTAGGGCGAGCCATGATCAGAAGAACCAGCAATGACGTAAGCCACCGTGGGTCGGAGGAGGGAAGACGAAGAGAAGGAGGAAATATGAGGATGAAGCCGCGGAGGGGGAGGGAGGAACAGGAGGACAAGGTGGAGGAGGAGGGGGAGGAGGGGGAGAAGGAGGAGGAGGAGGAGGAGGAGGAGGAGGAGAAAGTGGCCATGCGATGGGGGTTCGAAAATCCATGTCCAAGTAAGTTGATATACGTCGTCCCTGTTTAGCACGTCGGCCAAGGGATCTGTAAGACGAGACAAGCTCGGCATAAGCAGAAAGGAAGTGAACCACCGTGTGCCCGGGGAGGGAAGACGAGGAGAAGGAGGAAAGAGAAGGAAGGATGCCAAAAGAAAGAAGCAGGATGATGGGGGGAGGGAGGAGGAAGGAGGAGGAGGAGGAAAAAGAGAAGGGGAGAGGGAGGAAGAGAAGGCAGGAAGAGGAGGAGGAAGAGGATGAGGAGAAACAGGAGCAGGAGGAGGAGGAAATGGCAAAACGATGGGGACTCGAAAACCCATGCCCAAGTAAGCTGTTCCACGACATTCCTGTTTAGCACGCCTGCCAGGGGCTCTGTGGGAGGAACCACGACCGAAAGAAGCAGCAGGGCTGTCAGCCACCGTGGGCCTGAGGAAGGAAGGCGAGGAGAAAGAGGTAAGAAGAGGGAGAAATTGCATGAGAAAAAGGAGGCGGGGATGATGGTGATGGTGAGGAGGAGGAGGAGGAGGAGGAAAAGAAGGAGGAGGATGAGGAGGGGAGAAGAAGAGAGGGGGGGGTGGGAGGAGGATGAGGCGGAGGATAAAAAGGAGGTGGGGGGCGACGAGGGAATTTCGACAGCCCCCATGCCCATAAGTAAGATGGGTCTACGAACCGTTCACTATGTTGTACGTCTGCAAGGGCTCTGTAGAACGAGCTGGGATGGGAGGAGGCAGAGGAGGAGGAGGGCGGGGAGGAGGAGGAGGAGGAGAGGAGGAGGAGGAGGCGGAGGAGGAGGAGGAGGAGGAGAGGAGGAGGAGGAGAGTGGAGCAGGAGGAGCAGGAGGAGGAGGAGGAGGAGGAGGAGGGAGGAGGGGGAGGAGGAGGGAGGAGGAGGAATTGCTTAGACGACGGGGACTAGAAAATCCATGCCCAAGTAAGCTGCTCGACGACGTCCTAACCTACTTCGTCAACCAAGAGCTTCGCGGGACGAGCTGGGATCGGAAGCGGCGGCCAGGAACTTTGCTGACTCTCAAGGCCCATGGGGCCCAGGAGTTCGATTGAATGCCTTGCGCCTAGAGGCCTCATCGGGCCCGTGGGCTTGGAGAGTTCATTGAGCCCGAACGGCCTCAAGAACCCATGGCCTGCGAAGTTATGTATGCTATTTGCTTTCGTGGCAAACGCGATGTGCAAGACATGTTTATGGTAATGGCACGTGTGCGGCGTGGATGTTGCTGGTGTAGTAGTGCTCTCTGAGATGCACGCGATATGGCAAGAGTTGCGCGCGATGCGCACGCGGTTTACACGTGAGAAACATGGCACGGATCTCAAAAAAAACGCACGTGAAGGCGACGAGATGTTTCTTCGCCCTGAAACCGAGTCAGCATGATCGTCTGTAGCTCCTGGGGCCACCGGCGCCCCCACAAGTTCAATGTCAACGCGCGTTGCGCCGCCAAGTTGTATGATGCAGCCACAGAGGGCATGGGTTGAATATGAAAGGAGGAACGACACAATTCTTGGCAGCGATGGAGTTCGCCGCCTTAATCACTGCATCCGTGCCCTGCATCCACTCCTTCCATGTCATTGGCCGCGCGCGCGGTCCGGTTCCCAAAACGGGCAGCAAGTCAGCGGCCAGGCCTATCGGACGATCGCGGAAAGCCTCTGCGAGCGCATCCATACTCGCAAACAGAGCGTCGCGAGCGGCAGTCAGCACCAACGCTGTGCGCTTGCATCGAACAGCAACGGGCGGGCCCCACGTGACACTCAAACCCCCACGAGCCCTCACATTGTTAGCACGGCTTGCATTGCTGTCTGTCAAGTGTTCGACGCTACCACGCAGGGGCAACCCTCGGGCTCGGCACAAGTGGCTAGCGACTACCAAATCGAGGCCAGTCACGACGGCCTTCCACGCAGCTCCTGGCGGCTGCAGGGGCACTACGTCAAAATCATGAAACCACCCGCCTTTTCACAAGCATGATCTGCATCTGAGTTGCGTCCTTGATTGATGGCCTGATAGGGCAGCCCAGCCCTCACCCACCGGCTAGCATTTTTCATACATGACACTGGTAATGGGACGAGGAAAACAACACGAATCCACTCCTCTTGGCCTTCCTCCACCCCCATTGTCCTCGATGCAATCGAAGGGGCGGGTGGAAAAGGAGGGGGGGGGGGGGGGGGGGGCCAGGAGAACTGACCTGCATTGCGTTCCTCATCCCAGATAGTTTTTGCACTCTGAGCCCTGGAAACCCTTGAATGCCACACTTGCCAGTCAGCGCCCGCACAATCTGCTGGAATCCAAGCTTGGACGCCGCGACCACCGCACGCAACTCGCCAATCCCACCAGCCCTCTGGGCGTCGGTGGTTTAGAGCGTTCCCTCTTCCACCCCTCCCTCTGCCCCTTCGGGGAGGGGTTTACCCCCCCCCCCACCCCCTCCCCGCTGACCTGGACAGGAGGGGCGGGGAGCGGTCAGAGCGTCCAAAACGGCCTCGGCGAGGAAGCCACGAACATTGATTTTACTATGGTTTTGGCCACATGCTGGCCTTCTCAGGGGGCAACGCTAATTAAGGCCCCCCTCTTCTTTGATCGATTTCCTCCACGATGGCCGCAAGAGGCCCCCAGGATGCCCCAAGAGGCCGCAGGATGGCCCCAAGATGGCCCCAAGAGGCCCCCCAAGAGGCCCCCAAGAGGCCCCCAAGAGACCCCCAAGAGGCCCCAAGATGGCCACAAGAGGCCCCCAGAGGCCCCCAGGAGGCCCCAAAGATGATCCCGAACGGCCCACAGAGGCCCCCCCGAGGCACCCAAGACGCCGAAAAGCCCCTCAGGACGACCCTCTACTCGTCTGGGCGTCGTTTCTGGACGGGCTGGTGGGGATACGCGAAGCGTCTAACATTTTTCTTCGACCCCATCCAGAACCGATGGATGCACACAGCGCCTTTGGAAGTGAAAGAAGCACGCACTGACGGAACAGGTTTTCTTTTTCTATTGGGGGGCCTGCCACGATTTCTGCCCGTGCGCGGCAGAGCTACCAACTTACCTCTACACAATTGAATGACATATCTTTTGCCACCTCACTAAAAACTGTGTTCAATTTTCTTCCATCCGCTCGGGGAGGTAGCGAACGCTTCATATCAAAGCCGCGACGCCTGAGCGGTCAAAGCAGATGCCCCACTTGAACCAAATTCTACATGCAATAGCACACTGATGTACAGTCGACATCTGTAGTCGGGACAGAAGGCACGGACGCAAAACCCTTGCATGTCGCATCCCCGAGAACATCCTGAGACGTCAACCGCCGAAAACAACGAAGGAGGACTCCCAGGGACGAGGACGCAAGGGTACCCTCGAGGGGAGTACTCGCCCTTACTATGGATTCGAGCTGCATCTCATGAGGGCCGAGGAGCACTGAAGACCCTCAGCAAAGGGCCGAGGAGCACTGAAAAAGGATGGGGAACAAGGAGCGGCAAGATGACACCCGCAAAGTGAGTGACCACAGGAGTCCCCTCTCCCCTCCCTCCCGCCCTCCCTCCGCCGCCCTCCCTCCGCCGCCCTCCATGCCGCACCGTTTCCCCCTGTCCCTTCATACCCCCCCCCCGACTGCTTCCCTACCTCCCGCTCGCGTTCCCTCCTCCTCCTCCTCCTCCTCCTCCTCCTCCTCCTCCTCCTCCTCCTCCCCCTCCTTCATCCCTCCTCCCTCCTGGTCCTCCTCCTCCGATTCCTCCTCCATCCTCATCGTCCTCCCTCCTCCTCGTCCTCCTCCTCCTCCTCCTTCTCCTCCTCATCCTCCTCCTCCTCCTCCTCCGCCTCATCATCCGCCCGACGCCTGCTGCCTCTTCCTCCCCTGCTCCTCCTCCTCCTCCCCCCTCCTGCCTTCCTCGTCCTCCTCCCTTCCCCCTTATTTGATTTTGTTTTTTTTCCTCCTCCCCAGTCTCCTCTGTCTCTTCCTCCTCCCCATCAGCATCATAATTACCAGCAGCAGCAGCAGCAGAAGCATCAGCAGCATCATCATCGGCAGCATCACCATACGCATCAACGTCACCATCACAGGCATCGCCAGCATCACCATCATCATCAGCATCATCATAATCCCCGCACGCTGCGCAAGTGAGCAGTCGTCTCAGGGCGAACGCGCGGCGCGCGCCCGCGGCGGCCCGTAAGGCGGGACAGGCCTACGCGGGCGGGCCGTGCGACGCTCTCAGGCGGCCCCGTTCAACGAGGGCACCCGGGCGGCCAAGGGAGGCCGCAGCAGCGCCGCAGGTCAGCTTTCGAAGAAGGAGGGAGGAGAGAGGGAGGGGGCCGAGAAGCTGCAGACGACTGCAATCAGCGGGCGCGATGGGGATAAGAAGAAGCATCCCCGCACGCTGCGCAAGTGAGCAGTCGTCTCAGGGCGAACGCGCGGCGCGCGCCCGCGGCGGCCCGTAAGGCGGGACAGGCCTACGCGGGCGGGCCGTGCGACGCTCTCAGGCGGCCTCGTTCAACGAGGGCACCCGGGCGGCCAAGGGAGGCCGCAGCAGCCACACCCAGGCTCAAAGCCCTTGCGAAGTGACAAGGTTTCGGCGGGCGGCCGCGAGCTGAATGGGCCACACAGCCGGGCCAAC